ACCCCATTTTATAAGGCTATTCTGGAGGGGGATTCGTTTGTAGCTACGTCCGCCAAGCAAGACTCACCCACGCATTGAAGGACTGAATCTGATTGGTGGTAGCTGCGATTGTGGATCGATTGGGCTTGTCATGCAAGGGCAGTCCAAGACTCTGAATGGCTCGTTGGACGCAGGCCTGGCACAAGCGATGGCTTCCTTTCAACTCCAGCGGGTGTTGGTGGCGTGCGCCGAACCTAGTAACTTCTAGCTTCGCTTCCCCATGCTTTCCCGCACCTCCGCATCTTCACCCAATTCCAAACCGGCACGTTCAGGTGGAGAGAAACATTGAGAAGACGATTGCGAGCACCTGAAGCCAATTCAACCTGTGTGCCGCCCGCACGGCAACGAGCCCTCGGCCCTTTCCGACAGTCGAGTCGTCTTGGCTCTGGGCTTGGTATCTGCCACACCAGCCCGGACACCGCCACGGCCACCACGCAAGACACAATCCATGTGTCGAGCCAGTCTTGGCAGCGTTGAGTCTGCACTGCACTAACTGCCGCAAACTGACACACCATATCGCCGCTTGAAATGCGGGGGTACTGCAACGACAGCCGCTCGTGTCGACGAGCAGCAGCTTGGCCACTTTGTTCGCTGATCGTGAGTTCAGAGATCCTGAATCACTTAGAAAAGGGTGGAGCGAAACGACACATGCAATAAACGAGTATGCCAAGTCTGGGAATGACTCCTTCGAGCGCTTCCTTTAAGGCAATTCCGAAGTTGCAATCGTCGAGAAATGCGGCACTCAGGACCTGTGCTTGAGCAGTTCCAAAGGCAAACATCTGATTTTCACCAGGCCATCCAACGAGGCCGAGGACCTCCTGCGCCGCGGAGATAAGTCGCTCGATGCTTGGAATGACAACTTTGAAGTCATCGCTGGTCTCGAGGACATTAACCCCAGCCTGGCGATTTGCTAAGACTCTAAGAGCAGTCTGCAGCGGTGCAAGTTGACCTAAAATCCCACCCAGTTCCAGGCAACCTTTGTTTGGTATTTCCGGGCGTTCTGCCCGCCTTGCGAAGTGCATCGCCATAGGCGCGGCGAAGCACCGGAAGGGCATCGAGGTCCTGCGTGTGTGCGACGGTCGTCATTTTCTCACGGGCTTTCGAGAGCTGTCCCTAAAGTGCTGGTAGAGGATGGCCAGCGCCTCCACCTGTTCAGCAAGAAGGCTGGTGCCGGAAGCAACCCACGGAGAAAGCCATTGCTGTATGGCAATGCCTGCACGTCCAACACCAAGTCATCAAAACCAAATGATAGCAGTTTCTCTGAGCGCATCTGGATCATCTCCTTCTGCCCGGCTGCCCGAATCTGCCTGAGCTGGTGGCATGACAGACCTCCCCCGATTCATGAAGACACAGTCTTGTGATAGTGTCAGCACACAGGAGTACAGTTGAATGATTGTGGCGGGCGGTTGTGAACAAGCCTTGTCTTCCAGCTTTTTATGCTAGCATTGCTTTGCCTTCGCTGTTCTGCATGGGCCTCAGCACTCGCCTCAGCAAAGGCAAGCCTTGCGGAAACCTAGCAGACAGCTGTGCTCCCCACCCATGCTATGGTCTGGTCGGGAGTCGGGGGGAGTGTGGAATCTGAGATGGGGTTACTTGGGGCTCCTCGCAAATCGTCAGTGTTGTCGGATTCTAGCTTGATGTTTCGGCAGTCGCAGGGATGGACGTCCGGCAGTTTACGGATCCTTATTTGACAGAACTTCGACGCCTCGGGAGTGGTCTCACAGCTGGGTAGTTGAAGGTTTTTTGATCCCACGGGGGACAGAAATTGAGCCCAAAAATCCACTGAATGGCTTACAAACCCCAACGCGGATCCACACCCACCCACACCTACGTCAAAAGGATTGAGTGAAGACAGAACCACCAGGAGCAGAGGGGCACTCAACAAACCCAATCACAAATCCTCAAACAGGGGCGCAAGGGGGGGGGGGGGGGGGGGGCCAAGCGCATGTGCATGACCGGAATGAATTACGTGTGTTTGCTACTCAGCTCACACCAAAAAGCCACTGCTGGCAACGACAGGAATTAATTACCTCACCCTTCGGGGGAAGCTCAGTGTGCCGAGAACAGTTTTCAGTGATATCGCAAGAAATCTTTGGCACAACATCGGAATCTGAATGTGCTTGACACTGGCAGCTCTAGCAATCAGCGAGGCGACATCATCGTTGATGGAAGCATCCCGCATTCTTCTCCAAGCGAACTTTCGGCCGCCAGGCATCTCTCCACGAACGCCAAAAAATCCGGTAGTTTTGCCAGTTCATGTTCTTCAAGCCAGATCGAGGACTCCTCGTGGGATCGATGCGAACCAGTCGCTCTCCACCCTTCCAGATTATATGATGCGGCTGAAAGCATTGTGCGGACTCTTCTAGATTCTAGGTTCTGGCTTCTAGCTCGTCTTCGGCGGGTCCGCACATCAACAATTCGCACTGGGTGCGCTTCACTCTCGACGTGCAGACGACTTGTCCATATCTTGTCAAGCCCCTTCAGTACACGGCAGCACTTCACCACAAGCCTGAAAACTGAGAACCCTGATTCACCAATACCTCGTCCTTGCGACAATACCCATCGGGTGGACATCCGAGACAGCATCACTGCATCCAGTGCACACCCCTGTACGTTTAGATGGTCTTTCTGACACTCACAAAGCGTCACTCCATGGCCCCGGAAAGCGGCAGACTCTGCGTCGTCGTGTCAGCGCTGTCTTCTCTTGAGGCGCCCGGGGAAGTGACACAAAGCTGGGGACAATGCTCGAGGAAGCGACACAACTAAGCTGAGCCAGACATAGCCATACCTGTTCAATATTTGCCGCTTCTCTTTTTCGAGTTTCCGGCTTGCAGCCTCCACTCCGTTTGGATTTTCCGCGGTACTTCACTACTCGGGGCAGCATGGTTCTTGTCGGGTGGACAGGCCCCCTTCCGGCAACTCGCATTGGCCGGCTGCTCCAAATTCCCCTGGATTCGCGGCAGAATGTGTGGGCCATGTTTTGTTGAGCAGACAGGCGTTTGTGTACGCATGTCTAATGCCTACAAAGCATGGCCTCGGGTTCCCAGCCAACTACTCACGTAGGCGGCTTGGTAGCTACTTGCATCTTTCGAAGACTATCGTCACTATCTGGCCAACTGCCATTCCCTGGCACCTGCAAAACATGTTCCATGTTCTGAAAATACTGTCATATGTATGAAAAGCCGGCACCATTGATGCCTCACAACTCCAGCAACAAAGGACATGCGGCTACACCGTACCTGGCCTGGGAACCACATGATGCAAATCCGAATCTTTCACAAGTATGGACGTCAGGCTAGCAGCCTGGGCAAGATATCAGTCCTGATAGCTGCAGGTAAGTTAAGGACGTCAAACAGTGCAGACTTCGACAATACAATCCCCAGCCTGAACCGCCAAGCGTCAGGATGAAAAATTCGGGAAAATCATGCACAACGATTCCACAATACAAGGCTCCTCGCAGAAAAAGGTAGCGGTCTCTTCCAGAAGTCGTGGCTCCAGCTGGACGGTGTACAAGTCCAGAATCTTGAACAGTTGTATCGCAGATTTCAGCGTTTGCTTGTCCACAACCTTTCAAATTTCGCGAGGTACGGTGCAAACCTGACTGCACATGCTTGCGGTCTAGCTGTGATGTGTGTATATATATATATATGTATATGTACATATACATTTCCAAGTACCCACTTCTGCAAAACCTTGCAGGCCCTCCTGCACACTTGCTGGTCACACCTGGCCTTGCCCTGACGATGCTCGTGGATCAATCGCAAAGCACCGCGTACTATGGAGTCCAGGGGTTGACGCGTTTCGAGAAGCACCTGGCGGAAGTGGCCACGGAGAACCTCGTAGAGCGAGGCATCAGCCTCTCGAGTGTCAGCCGTCTACAGCCCATGAGTCCACAGTCTTCAACATTTCTAGGCAGGCCTTGCACGCGACGGCAGAGTCCAGGAAGCTGTAAATTCTGGATACGTCAATGAGGACCCCGCACATGGCCAAAGCGACCTGGCAACGTGAATACACCGATTCATCAAGCATGCGCCTCCAGCATCGATCAGAAACATCTTGCGAATGGACAACAAGCACATCCGAAGCCGAGGAACAGCCACTAGATTTGATAGCCCATCTTGGTCGGGGTCCAGGCTGCATTCACTTAGCTGCTGTCGCAGCTGCACTGCCACATCCCGCAGCAACTCCTGCAGGAGAGTCCTGAGATTCTCTGCAGATCAGCATCTACGTGGACGCATCGCGCAGTCTTCAGTTTTCAATCGATACCAACGCCGCAGATTTCAACTCTCTTCAAATACCATGCGGCTCTGCCAGGCCGAGGGAACACAGTGCTTCGACATGACGGCACAATGCCTGTTTCGAGCCACCTTCCAGGCTAGCAGAAGTGTCACGACGTGTCACAAGGAAATGGAAAGTGGAATATGCGTGTGATTGCATTGTACCTGGCAATGGCCGCCGCTGGCAGAGCGCGCTCACAGCCTGCACGCGGGTAACTTTCAAGGAGCGATGGCAAATCTTCATGCTCTGGCATTGAGGGGCCACCCAGACCCCCATTTCTCACCACCCCAGCATGCGACAGCCTGCCCACGTTGTCGGACAATGCCTCTTTCCATTCGAGTTTCCCGTGTCAATGAACTCTTGAGTATTGTTGGGTCAGGCTTGGAGCACCCGGGGTATGGCCTAAACCCGATCGCACGAGGGTATGTCTTGAGCTTCGGATGCGAGTCCCATGAACTTGCCACAAGCCTACAAATCAACCGCCTCTCTTCAGGTGTTTAGCAATTTAACTGCCGGTGGCTGAATGGGTGTATGCACCTGCTGAGATGTCCGCCGTGAAGTTTCCCACCCGATGCATCCTCCCTGGTCGGTCGGGTTCGTTTCGGCCCCTCAGGGCCAAACAACCAACCGCAAGACGGGACGGGTTTCGGCCTCCTCAGGGTGGGGTGTGTACCCTGCTAGGAAGGCTTTACATCGGTTCGCCGCCCGACAGACAACCACCCCCACCCTTGTAGGAAGTCTTCGGCCCCTTCCGTTTCCTAGTTCTGCTAACACTAACAATCGCGAGATGTATGGTGCTAACCGATGGAATAATTGTATCATTGTAATATTACAAGTACTAATAGTAGCAGTCGTCGTCGTCGTCGTAGTAGTACGGTGACGTCACCGTAGTAGTAGTAGTAGTAGTAGTAGTAGTAGTAGCAGTAGCAGTAGCAGTAGCAGTAGCAGTAGATTTTTGCCTCCCGCCTGGCTAGGACAATCCTACGATGCAGGGTCAGATACAAGCTCTACTCAGAAAGACGTCTGCGTAAGACATCCAAAAGTCAATGCGACATCACCTCGGCCGCTGCAGCTCACCACACTATTCTGTAGTTTCCACACCCATTTGGGTGTACTGCAGGCTTGGCCGTCACAGCCATTTCAGTCTACTCCACACCTATACACTTCAGCTCTCAGAGTTCCCATCCCATCCCTAGTTCAGCTCATCTTCATTCAAGCCCTTCCCGCTCTCTAGCTTCGCTGTATGTCGGCCCAAGACCGCACCAGCTTTGGGGTGTGCAGTGTTGGGATAAATTCTCGCTCATTGCAGTGTTTCGGTTGTGGCCAGAAGTTAGTAATAGTAGATAGTAGTAGATAGTAGTAGATAGTAGTGGATAGTAGTAGTAGTAGTAGTAGTAGTAGTAGCAGTAGTAGTAGCAGTAGTAGCAGTAGTGGTGGTAGTAGTCGTAGTAGTTGCGGTAGTAGTAGTAGCAGTAGTAGTAGTAGTAGTACTAGTAGTAGCAGTAGCAGTAATAGCAGAAAAATGCCACGAGCGGCTCAGGCCGGAGACTTGGGGCGCGAAGCCTACCACCAACGGTAAAAGCTCGCAAGAACGACCCCAAAACGCAAGTGAGCTGTCCTTTGCGATCTCACAGAAGGCTGTGCATGGACGTTTGCTGCGTTTTCACTGCTGCTGTTGCATCATCGCCAATACGGAAGACTACAACAAGCCTGAGAAGGAAATATCTGCTCGGTTCGGTCCCAAGTCCGGATAACAGCTTCGAGTCAACGTGCTGACAAAGACTGGCCAAGACTGGAGTTCGCCGCGTGGAATTGCAGTGGCCTCTCTCAGGAGCTGTTTCTGGAAATACAAACCTGGCTACGTACCAAGCCCAACATCGCAGCATTCGCCTTACAAGAGACCCGCTGGGGCATGACGTCTGAATGGTGCACTGAGGAGTGCCACATAGTGCACAGCGCAGCAGTTCGGCCGAAACAGGGTGGAGTTATGTTAGGTGTGCGCAAGGGGTTGGTTGAAGCCAATAGCTCAAGTTGGGCTGCAGTGGAGCTTGGAAGAATTCTTCATTGGAGAGGTCGCCTCAGACAACAGCAGTTTGATATCGTTAGCCTATACCGGCAAGCGCTTTCATATCACTGTGATGAGCAAAAACAGTGTGTGATGACGTACAAGAAAACAGTTTGGAACATACTGTACTTGATTGATGGGCTGCTCAAAACGCTGCCTTTTCGCACATCTATTGTGCTGATGGATGATTTTCACATGGCCCTGCAGCCGTTCGACAAGGTGGCAGGACAGGGCATCCATCCAGGAGCGACGCACTTGGATCAGCGACAAGAGCGTGACGACATCACGCAGATGCTGTCCAGGCATCGTTTGACTGCTCTCAACACGTGGGGGCGAAAATGCTACACCTACAAGCATCCAAGTGGCCGCTCGCAGATTGACTACATCATCACAAGACAGCAACTTGCGGACTTCAGATCAAAAGGATGCTGCCCCACCAAGGCTCCAATTGCAGGTTGGCGTTCATCAGGACATGAAGTTCTGACTGCGAGTGTAAAGCTGTCTTGGAGGGCATGGCTGCAGTCAATGCCAACTCGCAAGCCACAGGTCCAGCCGGCTCCTATATACACTGCAGGAACTAGCGCAGGTTTTCTAAGCCTCAGCTGCATATACTGCAACAATCAATGTTCCAGCACCATGAGATTGTCGCAAAAGCACCTGTCAGGCCTTTTTTCCGAACAATGCATGAAGAACCATATAAAGAAATTTTGCAAATTTGGAGGAAGCTTGCTAGAGATCGCTTCGGAATCAACAGGAGGCAGATTGCACGCAGTTTGGAGCATGGCAGCTGGCCCTGCTGAAGCAGAAAGCGCAACGACAGCTGCGACGACTGGCTAGACAACGCAAGAAAAAGCAGAGCCAGAAACTTCTGGAAAGTTCGGAGATAGCAGCACAGAATAACCTCGGGTGCCGTGCCAGTACATCAGAATACTCGCACCCAAGAAGTTCTCTGGGACGGTCTGTCTGCGAGATGACGCTGGTCACCTCATTGGACCCGAGGAGGAAAGCCTCTGAAACTGCAAAGTTATGCGCAAGCACTTTTCTCTGGACCTGTGTTTCCATCGCCAGAGCTGGAGCCCCTTCCAGCTGACTGGTTTGAGCCAGACCAATGGCAATGGGCCTTCAAGCAATTGGCCTCGCACAAAGCTGTCCCGAAGGAGAATGCCTCCACAATGGCTTGGAAACAACACGGACGGCAAACAGGAACCAGGACACAATTTGCCATGCCAAGCCCAGTATCTGCAAGGAGCGGACCGATGTTCAGTTCACCTCCTAAGCCCAATAAGAGCCCAACTTGCCCTGCCAACCTTCGAACTATTGGCTTCATGGGAGGGGACACTGAAGCTTTTCCGCAGATTTTGAAGCACCATGCCAACCCCGTTGTTCAAGAGGCGCTCAGGAATATTCCGCAGATCGAGCTCAGGCATCTACATCAGACGCTTTGCTCAGAGCCAGCATGCGCTGCGATGAAGTTCGAACACTTCTGGATGGCTGTCGGGACGACATGACGGCCAAACTAGCAGGCCTCTCTAAGACTTTCCTTTGACTCCATCACGCATGAGGAGATGCATGAACCCTTAACAGCTACTGGAATGCCTTCAAACCTTGCAGGGGTTAATGGTCCCCGGCCGCCCGGGCAGCGTTCTCGATGATCTCTGCAACATGGCTTTTAGACAGGGCTTGGAGCACCCATGGCATCTGCTCCAAAGACTTGAGCAATCACATTGCGGCCGCACCATCATGGGCGGCTGAAAATCAAAAACGTTCAACCAGACAAAATTCACATGCAAACTCCAGCAGCTTCACGCCATCTGGATGTCCCAGGCTTCACACACCAGAACCCCAAAATTTTTGCAAAGCGTTTCCGCGCTCCAGCAGAACACGTTACAGTAGTGCTTGCTTGCTTCATCGTGGCACAAACGCGTATTCCAAGTACTGTAGCAGTAGTAGCGGTAGTAGCAGT